AGTGACGAGTGGTTGGTTGGGAGGATAAAGGAGGAACTTGTCTTTGAGGATGATACTTTGACATGGGATGATGTTGCTAGAGCTGCTGGAGTTGAGGAAAGTAGACAAAGAACTAGATCAACAAGGGCAATAGAAAGGGGTCGTTCAACTTCAAAATCAGCAGCTAGACCTAGATTACAACTTATTGATGAGGAAGAGTCAATTTCAGATGGGGGAGAGGAAGAAGATGCGGAGGGATATGATGAAGCCAATGATAATGAAGAAGAAATTCATTTGCTTGATGTTGAAGATGATTTTTAGAACCTTTGGATTGTTGGATTGTATTTGTCTTTGTTGGATATTTTTTGTTGTTTATGGATATTTAGTATTTGGAATGATAAATGCATGATGGTTCTTGAAAATATTTATATTTTTGTCTATACTATTTATTTTTAAAAAATATCATTTGTGGTCGCCTCGATTCGATGAAGACCTCGCCTCGCCTCGCCTCGTCACCTCGTGCTTAGGCGTTAGGAGACCTTGTCGCCTCGGTTCGCTTTTCGCCTTAAAAAACACTGGGATTACTAGCCGATCACGGCCTAAACCTCTAGGGGTGGGTTCGGGTCGTGACAGCTTCAGTTGTTTCCTCTCTTCATTTAGGTTTACTTGGGTTTTCTTCACGTATCTCTTCATCTGTCTGGATTTTTAACTCTGATACTTCTTATCATATGACTCATCATCTCTCCTACTTCAAAATTGTATTCCCGCTTCTTTTCCTATTACGGTTAATGCTGCTAATGGGTCTAATATGTCCGTTATATCTGATGGGTCTGTCCTACCATCTGCTATATCTGCTATCTCTATTCCATCTATTCTTTATGTTCCTTAGTTATCTGTCAGTTTATTATCTATCAGCCAGCTTGATCCCTCCGGTTTTAATGTTATCTTTTCTTACTCTGTGCAGGATTGGATGTCCACGCAGCAGATTGGAACCGGCCGTAGACTTGGAGACCTCTATGTGGCGAAGAGCTTACATCTGCCTATGATAACTCCTACTGCCTTTTCCTCTTTTCAATTGGATTCTCTGTCCAGTCCTTTCTACTTGTGGCATTCTAGATTAGAGCATTTGTCTACTAACCACTTACGGCCTTTAACTCAGTCAGGTATATTGGGTAAAATTTCTCTTAGTGAACTTACTGAGTGTCGGGGGTGTAAACTTACCAAAATGACAGTCTTACCTTTTCGTAAAAGTACTTCTATATTTGATACATAGTTTTCTTTAGTTCACACTGCTATCTGGGGCCCTTCTCATGTTCTTACTAAAGAAGGTTCTGTATACTATGTTTCATTTGTTGATGACTGCACCCATTACACTTGGGTTTATCTTATGAGTCATAAGTCTGACTTCTACCAGATATACCATACTTTTCAGTCTATGGTCACTACACAGTTTGGGTCTACTATTAAATTATTGCGGTCTGACTTGGGCGGGGAATACTTTAAAACCGAGTTTTGTGAATATTTGGCTAATTTGGGTACCATTTACTAAACTTCCTGTACTGATACACCTGCCCAAAATGGTCGAGCTGAGCCTCTTTGAGACAACTAAGTCTCTCCTCTCTGCCTGTGTCCCGACTCCATTTTGGGGTGAAGCAGTTCTTCCTGCTGCTTTTCTTCTCAACCGCATGCCTACCCCCTTCTTTCTGGTCAGTTTCCTTATGAGGCTCTATTTTCTCAACTTCCTAACTACTCCTGTGTTTGGGTATGCTTATTTTGTCCTTTTACTCCATAAAGATCGAACCAAACTTAGTGTCTGATATGTCCTATATGTCTTTTTGGGTTACAGTCTCACTCAGAAAGGTTATCGCTGTTATGATCCTATTTTTCGTCGCTTTTATGTCTCCCACCATGTTGCCTTTCTCGAACGTCTACCTTACTTTCAGCTTCCTCCTCTCATAGCCCCAATTTCCAAAGAGGATTTGGTTCATATTGATCCATTTCCTTCTAAGGTCCCTCTTGATGAGTACATCTCTGTTGTTTCCCATGAGCTTATTCCCTCTTCTCCTTGTACCACCCTCCTACTGAGTCCTTTCCCACTGAACCCCATGAGTCTGTTCCCTTCCCTCGTCCTCCTCCTCCTCCTCCTCCTCCTCCTCCTTTCCCGCCTTCTCCTTCTTCTTCTTCTTCTCCTTCTCCTTTTTCAATGTTAGTCTATTCTCGTCGCAAGGCTCTCCCTCCATCAATTGTCTCTGCCCCTGCTGCTGATCCTCCTGCTTCTGACAACTCTGATCTTGCTAACCGTAAGTATCCCCTTTGCATCCGTAAACAGGTAGTCAAACTTGATTTTACTAAAACATGTTTTTCTCCTTTATACTGTACGTTTTTGTCTGCTATTCACTCTTTTTCAGAACCTCAATCTTACAAGGAGACCTGTCAAGATCCTCATTGGATTCAAGCTATAGAGAATGAGTTGTCTGCTTTGCAGAAAACTAGTACGTGGAAGTCAGTTCCTTTGCCTACTGGTAAGAATCTAGTTGGTTGCAAATAAGTCTACAAAGTCAAGACTCATTCTTATGGTTCTCTTCAGCGTTACAAGCCTCGCCTGGCTGCCAAGGATTTTTCACAGGAGTATGGTATTGATTATAAGGAGACTTTTGTCAATGTTGCCAAGATGACTACTGTCTGTACTTTGATATCTATCACTGCTGTTCGATATTGGCCTCTTTATCATATGGATGTTAAGAATGCTCTTCTTAATGGTCATCTCGCTGAGAAGGTTTACATGCGTCCTCCCCCTGGCTTTTCACCATTTCTCTGGATCGATTTGTCGTCTTTAGCATGCTCTGTATGGTCTGAAGCAATTTCCTCGTACTTGGTATGATCGCTTTCAGACTACTGTTGCTGACCTTGGGTTTCATCCTTCTGCATAGGACTCCACACCTCTGCTAGTTTTGTTGCCATATTACTGTATGTGGATAATGTGATTATTACTGGCTCTGATTCTTCTGCTATTTCTGAGGTCAAGCAGCATCCCTTCCGCACCTTCGAAATGAAAGATTTGGCCCCATTGCGATACTTTCTTGGTATTGAGGTGGCTTCTTCTCCCAAGGGCTACTTTCTGTCTCAGGCCAAGTATGCTAATGAAGTTATTCACCGTGCTAGTCTTACTGACACTAATTGCTGATACCCTCATTGAGCTTAATGTAAAACTTAACATTACTAATGGTGTTCCTCTACCTGATCCTACTTTATATCAAGAGCACGTGGATTGCTGAGTCTATCTAACGGTTACTCGTCCTGACTTTGCATATGTTATTCATGTGGTTAGTCAGTTCATTTCTGCTCCTCATTTTACACATTAGGCTACTTTGGTTCGGATTCTTCGTTATCTCCAGGGTACTATATTCAAGGTTTACTGTTGTCTTCTACTTCCTCTTTGGATTTAGTAGCTTATGTTGATTCTGATTAGGCTAGTAATATCACTGATCACAAGTCCAGTTTTGACTTTTGCATGTTTTTTGGTGATTCCTTGATTTCTTGGAAAAGCAAAAAACAAACTGTTGCTGCATGTTCCACTACCAAGGCTGAGTATTGTGATATGGCTCATGCCACTGCTGAGATTGTTTGGCTTCATTATCTCTTGACTGATTTGGGTGTCCCTCAGTCTTCTCCATCCTCTCTTCACTGTGACAACCGCAGTGCTATTCAGATTGGCCATAACACTGTTGTCCATGAGAAGACGAAGCACATTGAGATTGATTATTATTTGTACGTCAGCATTTGTAGTCTGGCTCCATCTTGCTTCCTTTCATCTCTTTGGCATTGCAACTTGCTGACTTCTTTACCAAGACCCACACCACTGCTCGATTTCAGTTTCTTCTCGATAAACTCTCAGTATTTTCTGCTAAAACATCTTGAGTTTGAGCGGGAATGTGAGAATATTATGTTAATTATGGAAATATATTTATATATTAGATTGATTGTACATTTTAGATTGATTGTGTGAATATTATTTCCTATTTTAGATTAGGTTTAGGATTGCTATATATATCAGTTGTACTCGTTGCATTATACACAAGTTGAATATACAGATCATTCAAAAAAACTTACAACCAGGACATGTCTAAATTTCAGACTTTGTAAATGCTACATTCATTTATTCAGAGTACAATAGTGTTTACAAACCAACATGGATGCTTGTGCATATGCATAGGTTCATAGTAAATCCTACTGCTTAAACATATTCATTGTCCAGCTAGACATGTCAGACACATATCCCATACCCCAACCCAAGTGTAATTGTCTAACAGGGCAATTCACAAATTTATAAGAGTCCATACAACATAGCTTATATCTCCCATATGCAGGGGGGGAAAAAATTAGAAGTTATATCTTCCATATAACTTCTAGTTAAAATTTTAGAAGTTTCTCTTCACAGGCAGTTCACAATTCATAATATACTAGGTCGCAACACCCCAAAAAATGTGCTGAACTAATTTATCAAAAAAAAAAATTGTGCAGAATTAAACAGACCAAAGTCGCAGCTTGAAGAAATCATAACTTTCCAAATCAGGTTTCATGCAGGAATGGGAACTGACAAATGCTGGAATGGAAGGCAGTTGGCAACATGGACATAGAAACTTTATAGTATGTTAGGCAGTAGGCCTAATTATAAATGTCAGAAATTTACTTTAATAAGTGTAACACAAACATTTAGTAGGTGTTTGCCTAATTATAAATGTCAGAAATTTACTTTAATAAGTGTAACACAAACATTTAGTAGGTGTTTGGCATGCACTAAATGTCAGAAATTTACTTTAATAAGTGTAACACAAACATTTGATGGTAATGTGATTTGTGCAGTGTGCTGTACGATTAACACAGGACACTTGCACATTAAATCTTAACAGCACAAAGAGAAATGACATAGAAGGGATTCCCTGCTCAAACTAATACACTCTGCTTCGTCAATTAAATTTAAGGAATCTGGGAATGATTACCAAGCTACTTGAGAAACATACCTTCAGATTCTGTGTATCTGAAAAAATCCTGGACTGAGAATAGCTTCTTCTTGTCAAGATAGTCTTTGGAAGATCGTCCTAAATAGGGTACAAGCTTGATTAGTTCTGTCAATGAAACAGTTGATAGAGTGGATCTTAATCGCTCAACATTTGACAAGGGAATACTAAGTAATCCATTTGCCAGCTTCCGTGTAGAATTTTCCCCCGCTTCTTCCTTGTTGCTTGCAATAACACTATCATCATCCCCTTCCTTAGCAGAAGTAACTCCCACACTACTTGACGGCACGCCTCCCACTCGGGCAAACTTCCAATTTCCCAAAAACCCATTTACATCTGCCCTTTTACCTTCCAAAATATTAGTGACTGCCTTCAAATGGTTGACCTGATTGGTAGCACAAGGAGTGGGACATGAATCATTGCTCTTGCATTCGCTTTCTTGGACACCCAAATTGAACTTCTGAAGATTTTGAGTTAACTGGTCACATACAAAACCTATGAAGCATTCGATTGACAAATTAATTCCTTCTTTATGTTTTGAATCCTCATTCTGAAATGTTGCAACAAACAGACCCTTTGATTCCTTTCGCTTTATTTCACATGAAACCCAAGGTTTGGATGCCTGTGCACATGAATGCATACAATCTTTGTCCTCATCACCTGTTTTGTGAAACCGCTTTTTACCAGATTTAAAAGGACTTGGAAAAAACTGAAAGAAACCATTAAGCAGCAACGACCACATGACAGCAAAATGTAGGCAATTCGAGCAAGTCGCATCCGCATTACCAACATCCCCTTTCAACCCTTTGTTCAACATGTCAATCTTATGTCCATTATTACTCCCACAATTTTGAGAAAAAATTCCCGAGAAACTCTTAATCGGCACATTTATCGACAAATCCTTCTTTCTTTCATCACTAATCACACACTGATAACTCTTTTTCTTCACAGAACAGGTCTGAACCTTATTCTCCTTCTTAGCACTGCCCTGATTCAACTGTGTCGCAACGACTTCGAGGCTATTATTAGCCACATTCTTGGAGCCTGGCCAACAATGCTGAAAGTCTTTCGCTGCCTTCCTTATACCAGATTCGAGCGGCAAAAACACATCCTTTACAACTTGAAATGGATTAAAGGAGAACTCCACATGATCATTCGCAGACACCATCACCAAATCCGCAGATTAATCACTTATATATATATATATATTCTTGTATATATCACTTGTCAAAAAAATTTCCAAAAATACATTCTAGCTTAAATTCAACATAAATTCATAAAAACAAAGCTCATTGATCAGATAATTACAGTTCCAGAACTACACCTAGAATTTCAGACAACAACTGATTCAGAACCCTAACTGTTTTCGTCCGTAAAATCAAATCGAGAGCAATCCATGAGCAGTTGAATCCGAAAAGTGATTAAACATGCGTATATATATACAGAGAATGGAGATGAAAAGTATATACAATGTACTTACATGTGAAGCATTGAATTCGAATCACAGATAGATGTTTATCTTCTAAATTTAGACGGAGATAAACCTTTTGTTGAGTTTAGACAAATCTGAGGATCTCGAGATATGGCGACGAGTGAAGAGAAGATATGGCGACGAGTGAAGAGAAGAGGAAGACGAGCTTCTATTTGACTGTTTCATTTTACTTAGAAAAAATAATGGGAGCAAGTCTGATGTGATGTTTGGATTGTGGATTTTTTTTTTTTTATTATTATTTATTTATATCATTAGTGTTCCTTTCCACCTCTAAATCCAAATGTTTTATTAAATTTTCTATTAAATCCAAATGTTTTATTAAATTTTCTACTAAATATCTTATTTGATATAAAATATTTTATCAAATATCTCATACAAGACTCATTTGGTACCCACATGGTGGGGTTTTCTATGCTGTGGGTCTTACACTCATATAAATATTTAATAAAATATTTGGTACCTTCAACATTACTCTTTATTTATTGAAAAATGATTCGGACTCCCTTTTCTCCCCACCTCCTTTGACCCCCTCTCTCTCTAATTAGTCAAATTTTTTTTTTTTTTCTTTTTCTTTTTTTCCTTCTCCTCCAATCACCATCCGCCACATGTGTGTGGGGTGGTGGGGGTGGTGATTGGAGGGGGTTCCAATCACTCCTCTTATTTATTACGACCCCGCTACGTAGCTCGAAATTCTTTGGCACGAATTTGGCTCGACACCAAAACGACGTCGTTTTGGTGTCATTTTTTCTTTTTTTTTTTCTTTTTTCCTGTGTTGTTTGCGGAGAAGGAGAACGGAGAAGAAGAAGAAAAGGAAGAAGAAAAAGAAGGGAGAAGAAGAAGGGTGGAGAAGAAGATCGGGAGGAGGAGGAAGGAGAGAGGGGAGGGGGCCATAAAAATCGGGCTGGAGGAAGAGGCGGGGCTGCGCTGGGCTAGCTGCTGCGACGAACTGGACAGGAGGGGGTTGCGACTGCGACGATGACGATCGGCGAGGCGGTGGTGCGACGATCGGCGAGGAGGTGAGGAGGTGGTGCTGCGACGACGGCGGCGAGGTGACTGCGACGGCGGTGGTGCTGCCTCCTCCTCTTTCTCTTCTCCTCTCTTCTTCCTCTCTTCTCTCCATCTTTCTCCTCTCCTCTTCCCTCTGTTTGTGCAGAGCTCCTTTGCTTGAAAAGGGAAAAAAAATTTCGAGCCGTTTCGAGCCGTAGAGTTTCGAGCTCTGGATCATTTTCGTGTTTATTATACATTAGTATTCAAGGAAAATTTACGTTTAAATCTTGGTGATTTATTTAATTCTAAGAATTTTTTTATAAAACAATTAATTTTATTGATTTTGAAAATATAAATTTAATATATTATTTAAAAATTAAGTTTACGATTATATTTTTATTTTTATTTTTATTTTTTTAAGTAAAAGGTAAGATACAAAACTTATAATAATTAAATTTGGGATGAATTTTTATATGTGAATATTTTTTATTTGAAATCTGAACATTCTAAAAGAAGTACAAAAAAAATGAAAAAAAAAAATTTTTAATATATTTTTTTCCAAAAAAAACACTTAAAAAAAAAAAAAAAAAAATCAATACAACACTCTAATATAACATACAAAAAAAATTTCTTAATGTATTTTTCTCCAATGTAACACTCCAAAAAAACTTCTTAATATATTTTTTTCTGAACATAATACTCTAATGTAACACTCTAAAAAAAGATATAGGATTCTTCAAACCATTCCAAAATGACGTGAGATTCTTAAAGCCATTCTAAAATGAATACAAAAATTCATTAGTAAATTTTTGACAAATGCATAATTTCAAAAACTATGAGTTTTACGTTTAAAAAATATGCTAACAAATTTTTTAGTATTGTTGTGTGTGTTACATTGAAGTATATTACATTGGAATATTACATTTGGAAAAGGTATATTAAGAAATTTTTGTGTGTTACATTGAAGTGTTACGTTTGGAAAAAGTGCAATAACAAGTTTTTTTTGTGTGTTACATTGGAGTGTTACGTTTGAAAAAAAATACACTAAGAAATTTTTTTGGAGTGTTACATTGTTACATTTAGGAAAAGTACACTAAGAAGTTTTTTAATGTGTTATATTGGAGTGTTACGTCCTTATTTGTAATGTAGGATTTTATTTAGAATTAAAAAAAAAAAAATCAAAACCTCTATAGTGCGGATTGTCAAAATATGTAATTTCACATTTGGAGAAACTTACTTTTATCCCTCAAAAATTAAACTCAAACGTGTAAATGACTGCCTTTTGTGTAATTTTACTTTAATGGAACCTTTGCAAACCAAACCAAACCAAGCCTTGAGTCCCATCAAATAAGGTCGACTACATGAACTTCTTCTCTACACGACCCTATCAAAGATCATTTCATTAGTCAAATTAAGTACATTCATATCTCTATTTACAATGTTAGCCAATGTTAATCTAGGCCTACCTCGTCGCCTAACACTCCATTCTACCGCTACAGCATCGCATCTCTTCACTACTACTTCTGTTGGTCTCTGTTGAATGTGACCAAATTATCTCAATCGATTCTCTCTCAACTTGTCTTATATCGGTGCTACTCCTACCCATTCCCAAATACACTCATTCCTAATTCTATCTTGTCTAGTCTTGCCACACATCTACTTTAACATTCTCATCTCAGTCACACTCATCTAATCTACATGTTGTTTCTTGGTTGCCCAACACTCCGTCCCATACAACATCGTTGGTTTAATAGCCATTTTATATAACTTACTTTTTAGTCTAGTGAATATTCGTTTATCGCACAGTACCCCAGACGCACTTCTCCACTTACACCATCCCGCCTTAATCCTATGGGCAACATCCGCATCAATCTCTCCCGTTGTTGTGATAATCGACCCTAAGTAACGAAAATATTCACTCTTAGGCAGTTCTTGATTCTCAATCTTCACTTCTCCTCTGTTTCCATTGTTACTGTTACTAAATTTACACTCCATGTACTCTGTCTTAGTTCTACTTATCTGAAATCCTTTCGATTTAAGAGCTTTTCTCCAAATCTGCAACTTTATGTTAACTCCTCTAGTCTCATCCACTAATACGATGTCGTCTGCAAAAAAACATACACCATGGCACGTCATCCTGAATATTTCTCGTCAACTCATCCATAACTAAAGCAAAAAAGATAAGGGCTTAAGGTAGATCCTTGGTGTAACCCGACAGTGATAGGAAATTTATTTGTCTCTCTAGCAGGCGATCTAATAGTGGTCACCACCCCTTCATACATGTCCCTAATTACATCAATGTGACCTTTTATCACCCCTTTTCTTCTCTAACACCCACCACATTATATCTCGAGGCACTCTATCATATGCTTTCTCAATGATGATAAACACCATATGAATGTTTCTTTTCTTTTCTCTATATTTTTTTATTACTCTGCTCAAAAGATAAATCGCTTCCATTGTTGACCTACCAGGCATAAACCCAAATTGATTATCTGACACCTCTGTTATATCTCGCAATCGGTGTTTCATCACCCTCTCCCACACTTTCATTAGATGACACATTAGTTTGATTCCTCTATAGTTGTTGCAATTTTGGACATCTCCTTTATTCTTATATATTGGCATTAAAATACTCTTCCTCCACTCATCTGGCATGTTCCTAGTCAAGAAAATTTTGCTAAACAACCTAGTCAACCAAGCAACCCCCTTCTTACCCAAGTACCTCCAAGCTTCAATAGGGATATCATTGGGTCCTCAAGCCTTATTTGATTTCATCTTCTTAAGTGCAATCTCCACTTCAAAGTTCCTAATCTTGCGATAAAACCTATAGTCTTGGTTTATCGTATTACTGGCCATTTCTTCCCCTATTATCGTACCTCCAGGTTCCTCATTTAATAATTTCTCAAAATAGTTTTTCCATCTTTCCTTAATCTTTTCATCATTCACCAATACCTTAGAATCTTCACTCTTGATATACTTAACTTAATTAAAATCTCTTATTTTCCTCTCTCGTATCTTAGCAAGTTTGTATACCCTCTTCTCTCTCTCTCTACTATCTAGTCTAGTGTATAGGTCATCATAAGTTTTCAACTTCGCCTCACTTATCACTTTTTTGACCTCCTTATTAGCCAATCTATATCTCTTAAGATTTTCTTCAGTTCTATCATTCTGCCACTTTTTAAAGCACTCTTTTTTTGTCTTAACTACCACTTGAACTTCTTCCCTCCACCACCAAGTTTCCCTAGAGCTGGGTCCCGTCCCTTTCGACTCTCCAAGCACTTCCCTTGAGATTCTCCTCATACAATTGGCCATCGAGTTCCACATAGTGTTAGCATCATCTATCAAGTCCCAAGTACCTTCCTTATCCATTTTATTCTTAAATATTTCTAGTTTATCCCCTTTTAGGTCTCATCATCTCGTCCTACGACGCCTACCATTATTCCTAGCTTGGTGTTGCCCTCTAAAACATAAATCTAGTATCAAAATCCTATGTTGAGAGGTCAGACTCTCTCCAGGAATCATCTTACAATCATTGCATTTTAGGCGGTCCACTTTTCTCACTAAGAAGTAATCTATTTGGCTCTTAACTGACCCACTCTTAAAAGTTATCAAATGCACCTCACTCTTCATATATATAGTATTGGCCACCACCATGTCAAAAGTCAACGCAAAATCTAAGATACTCTCTCCAACCTCATTTCTGTCACCAAAACCATATCCACCATGCACCATTTCATAGCCTAGTTTATCTATGCCTACATAGCCATTAAAATCTCCACCTACAACCAAGTTCTCTCCTACGGATATCTCCTGTAAAATCTCATCCATTTGCTCCCAAAAATCCCTTTTAGTCTAATCATCTAATCCTACTTGAGGGGCGTATGCACTAATAACATTCACTATATTCTCTCCAATAACTAGTTTAACTAACATAATCATATCCCCTTTCCTACTGACCGCCACTACATTCTCTACCTGACCCTTGGCAATTATGATTCCTATCCCATTCATGTGTCTGTCCTTACCACTATAGTACAGTTTAAAACCAGTATTCTCAATTTCCCTAACTTTCTCACCTGTCCACTTAGTTTCTTGTACGCAAGCTATACTAACTCTCTTCCTAATCATACATCTACCAATTCCATTACCAGTTAAGGTTCCTATATTCCAAGTGGCTACCCTAAACCTGTATTCTTGA